AAGGAAACGGAAACTGGAAGATATTTAAAGCGTGATTCGCGATGGTTCCAACCGAGTCTATTCCAATTTGTAAGTTAGAGGATTTCGCATCCTGCCGATCAGCCTATCCCTCCTGGCTAAAGCTATAGCACAGGCATGTTTGGACTACTAGGGATCCGATGTGGGCTCACTGCGTTCTCTGTGCGTCAACCCTGTGCACTTTTGATTCAAAAGGTAGCCGCTCCGTGCTGTCGGTCATGTGAATTCAGGTCCACGCCTGGGGCAGTTCGACTTGGTTGCGAAGCCCGACTTCTCGCGCACAGCTGGTTTGATGAGCAGAATTTTCGCGTGGCCCAACCAAAACTGCTCACCAGGAGTAGAGTGGGTGACTTGCGTGGGTTGCACGAGGAGCGGAGCCCCAAGGGCCACAGGCCGCTGCTACGCACTGATGGATAGTTGCGACTCCTGTTGGCTTGTTCAATCCATTGGCTTTCCACCATTTTTTGGGCCGCGGATTGGTGCACTAAACCAAGAAAGGAGGGAAAAATCAATCGAAATCACTCAATTCCTGCATCGTCCTGTGAGGCGTGACGTTACCCACAGACTCAAGTACATGAAGCTTTGGTACACGTACCAAGTGCTGGTGGACATTGGTCGGCGTTCTTTGAAATCAAGCGTTCCCGATTGCCAAGATGCTGTAAGCAGACGACTAGATATACAAGTTGGGCCCTTGGCCCTATTGATATACTCCTCTGTCGTGCGGAAAGTAGAATATGCCAAGATCCCTGCTCAGTAGCCACCAAATAGGACACCTGCAGGCTCCAGTACAAAACTAACGCAGTAATGCAGCACGCACATCCGCGAATGTGCACTAACGCGAGGTTCAGTTCTGGGGTTTTCGAGACCCGTATCATCCAGCTCCATCCTTTGCTCGATGCAGGGATGCCCGCAGCAGGGCCCACACACTCTCAGTCGAGCTGGCTAGGACCCAGGTCGGGACTAACGTCTGCCCCCCACGCATCCTACCGTAGCCTTGGCTTTCGAATTCAGGTAGGACTGGCCCTTGCAGTGTAGACGGCAATCCGGGGGCCGTCGATAGCCCAGTAGCGTCAGTCCGGGGTGTCATGAATGTGCATCATCGCCATATCTATGACAATTTTAGCAGGATTCTCAGATACATGCCCTTGAAAAAGCGAATGGCAACTTATCGGCCAATGGCAGCGTGTACATCGGCTCAGGACCCAGCCGGCTTTTGCTAAGTGCCAGTATGCCACATTGGTCCACTCGTGCTTGCCAGAAAATGGTTAAGATGTCGAGTTCTCTTATGGTTTTCCCACGTTCAACACCACCTGACAGCGAATCCGAGAACAGGACTCTGTCTTGGCTACCGGCGTCAGACAGTCCATTGCCAGGGACCCCGAGAACATGGTCTCTCGTCTATTGCGGAAAAGATGAAGCCTCTATCATCGCCACTTCCAGGACTCTCGCCCCTTCAGTCGTCATCCCAAGAAGACAACTTCATGTTTCCTACAACGAAAGTCATTAGATCAAAATTGAAGAGCAACGAGTCTCCATGCGGAAGTTTGGACCGTCCATTCGAGATCGTCTCTTCCAGGTCCTCCTCGGCAGCAGCAACCACTGTCGAGTCTATGGAGACTCAAGCCAGGTCTGTCCTCGGTGGATCGTCAGAGAGACCCTGCAGCGAGTCAGGCCTCAACAACGCAAGGCGACCCACAGTCGTACCCAAGAAGAAAATGTTCCAGCTTGGGGATTCTTCAGAAGAGGACAGCTCAGTCAAAACCGCGCTCAAGTCTCGACATCGTGGTTTATTGAGTGCTCCAATAAAACAAGGCTCATCCCCCAACAGCCCAAAAATAATTATCAAGTCTACAACCGCATCCATCCACGAGTGCGAGGGAAGCTGCTTTGATGAGTGTGCTATTGATAATGATGATAATGATGATTGGGAAGATTCGAACAAGAAGGTGAGCAGCAAGAGTGTTGTGGGAGAGAAGAGGATATTCTTCCGGGGCGTCATCAGAGCCAACCATAGCTCCGGCCGATCTCTCATCACTTCAGGCCTCGAGTCGATACAGAGTCGAGGTTCACCGCTTCAACATGACAACATGGCCTCCGAATCGACTTCGCCTTTGTCCCAATTTGGGAGGACTTCTTTCAACAGCCCTCCCTGGGTGGCTTCACCGGAGGACTCTGATAGATCACCTCTGGTGATTTACCCAAAGCCTCGAGGTTCCCCTCTGCGATCTGTCAATGAGACGCCTGGTCCATCGGCGCAGCCTATCCCACCCATCCGCAACGCTGTCAGCCAACCCATAGCCTTTTCGCCCAGGACGATCCGCCGCAACATGATGTCCACTGAGCTCACCGAGTCGCTACGCCGCCACATTCTTTGGGAGAGGTCACAGAAGACTTCAACAGCCAATGCCGTGCTCAAGCGTCGGCACACATCTCAAGACGTGGCCAACCTGAGCTCAAACCCACAACAGTCCCCCGGGAATGGATGCGACACCGATATCAATAGCAGGAGCTGGGATCAGGGCTTCACCTGGGAAGCCTTCGCCGGATACCACACCCAAGGCTGGTGAGCGTCGCAGACATTCCCCCGACACATCCCATGATGCATGTTTGTAAATATGAAGTTGGAAGTGACCTCAAGATAGGACGAGAAAATTAGAGTTCACTGTACCACATTCGGCTCTAGTCAGAGATCGCAGGCTCACGTTCGGTCCTTCGGAAGGTCGTAAAAGGGCCTTTATCTGAGAGTTGCAGCAGGTAACGCTTACACGAATCCGTAAAACAATGGTCAAGCCTAGTTCGAACGGAAGGGAAACATAATTGTATCACTCAACCGTCTATTTCAACGGGCTCATTGGGGCTTAACTGGACCTTGTTTTCATTAGTCTCAGGCTTTCCAGTTGTCTTCTAAGCCTTCAATTCTTTCTTCAGACACCTTTAATTGCAGCTCCTTCTCGTTATAATGATCAGAACTGGTTCCTCGCTGATAAACCTAGTGCGTGGGTCTATGTTCAGGTTGCGTTCCAGGTGATGATGTTCTGACCAACGTGTGACAATGGTTGATCGAGAGCTTTCCAGCTATTCATAGTGACATCTAAAAAAGATGCTGCGGAATACGGTTCGGCCGTGGCGCGATAGGGTGGCGATGAAGCCGTAGAAAGAACACCGGCCTGAAGGAGAGTTGGATAGACCTGGAAAGCTCCGTCGATAGCCCTCGTCCTCGCTGGGGCGGGCGCGTTGGGTGATTGTTTGCCAGGGCAAAGAGTGAACGAACATAGGTCTGACATCGTTACATGTATTTTTGCTGGACAATTCCAGCGTCGACAACTACAAACTGAAACTCGCATTGGCATAATGCTCGTGCTTGATCAAGCGCCTATTGATTGATTGAGTTTAGTCTATGCGCCCAAGGCGCCAGAAACCGGCTCGCGATCCGGCTCGCGATATGGGATGACGGCAGCCACCCGGCGCATAGAGCGTCACTTGGACATGGGTCAACACTCCCACCACCTGAGTGCAAGGAATTTCTATCATCGAGCAGGGGGGTTCTTCCAAACAAGTGTATCAAGCCGCTATTGTTCACAAACATGGGGGCTGACATCGCGCTAGCCGGGACATTCCTTGACAATTGATATTGAGTGCACGGATCACTTGTGACCCGGAGGTCAACCTGGTCCGTGCACACTTTTCTCTTCAATTTCAGATGATGGAAGCTCTCCTGACCTCAGTATTTGTCGAGACCTCCTCGCATGCTTTAGAGATGCCACGTACACTGCCGAGCCAACACAGCGTGCAGATCCCGGGAAGGGTCCTACTTTAATTTGCTTCTTGCCGAAGGGGTCGTATAGTTGATTACGTTAGCTGCAGGCAGCACCAAAACACGGCGCCTGCAGCGCCCCGTACGTAGATAGAAGAAATCAACAAAGCACCTACCCACACTTCGTCAACTTGCAGCTTCCTTAGTGAACGTTGTAGTGTTAATCCGTAGGAATTGTGACCTCGAGCCACAAGGGGACGTATGCAGCCCAACGCTAAATACGGCGTTCGATTTGTGGTTGTCGGAACCCGCATTGCTCAGCGCCATTGCATGCAGGGTGCTTCCCAGCCATCTCAGCCAAGCATTAGATTGCCAACGTCGGTCTCGTGTGATTGAAGCTTATGCGCGGTTCGATCCTGGGATTTTTGGTCCTTGCATGGCCTAGGCACGGCCGAGGGAGAGGAAAGGGTGGAGTCCCTGTCGAACCTTGAAATACTGCACTACTGCTTTGCAGTACAAGCTCTTCGAATATGTCCTCCTGCGTGAGTATACGGAATATCCATCCCAGGTCAGACAGACTCACCCCGCATTCTGGGGCGGATAGGCGCACCCTGGGACAGATAGGCGCGCCCTGGAGCGGATAGGCGCACCCTGGGGCGGATAGGCGCACCCCGGGACGGATAAGCGCACCTCAGGTCGGAGCCCACACCAAGAGCGCCTATGGTGATAATCTGCTGGAATTTGTACCCTAGCATTGTCCATTCTTTTTGCCCACTAGTGAAGTAACAATCGCGTGATCCACGGTTGTGACTTCCAGAAAGGGTCTCCGCTGAAAAGAATGCACCAACACATCTCGTTAGCGATTCGAATCACGCCTAGTATGTGTAACAAGGGCGAAGGGCTTGCTGTTATAAATCAAATGAGCGATTGGATTGAGATGGAAAAAGTAAATAAAATTGAGGAACAAATTAATCAGAAATGCTTAACACGCCCGAGCTCTCGAATACGTTTTGTCACGCAGAAGCTCAATACTTGTTCAAGGTATGTCCTCGGGCAAGTGCTTTATCGTCCACCACCGCGCCCGTCTCTAGACGCTGCTACCACTACCACTGACACCTGGACCCTGCCCATTTCTCACTTTCAATGGTGCCATCGACGCTACTCTTTGCATTCAAGTCAGCCAGTAAACAGACACAGCAATATAGTGCCTTTTTACGCTGCTGACCACTGGTATTCTCCCTTTCTCTGGCTTACTCTACCCAAGCGTCGATTAATCTCGTGCTCAGCCCCCGTCCTGGAGGGTGACCGCTCTGCATTTCGCTACGGCACGCTGCCTCACGCCTCAAGTTTGCCTGCACATCTTCCCTTGCCTTACTCTACCTAAATGGACCTTATCTTACCTTGCCGGCAAAAGGTCCCGAGCTGGCGAACGCGACTACTATACTACATACCACTCGCTATCTCCTAAAGTTCAATTATAGCAGGCTACGGGTCCTCGAACACCCAAAAACAAAGGCGTTTTGACGAGATCCTGATCCCTGTCACCCATACTACTCAGAATCGCCAGAGCAATCCACAGCCCTCGCAAGCTCGCACCCGCCCCAAACACAGTGCGTCTATTCATTCACTTCCATCCCTTTTCCGACTACAGCACTTATTACCTGCTCAAAAAACTTTGTTTCTTTGAAGCATGAACCAACAGCTTCAGATGAAGCGGCGTCGCCTCTCGACCGATCCCTCCCCGTGGCCAGTGGGGCCATCACATCATGGCCATTCAATGCCTTTGTCCGAAGCCCACCATCCACACCCATCATTTCTTCCTCTTCCTCCCTCATCTCAGTCCTTACCCTCGTCGCATCTCTCTCACCCACCCCGTACCTTTTCCCATCGTCCTCAAGAATTGCACGCGCCTCACCAGCCGCCGCTACCTCAGCCGTGTGATGACTGCCGACAACATGAGCCTGAGATGTATTCTCAAATCCAGGACACCCATCACCAGCCCCCCTTCTCTCCAGAGAATCAACATTATCCGTTCTCTGGACATCAATATGCGGAAAGAGAGTTTGTGGTGAAGAGAGAATTCGCCAACGCCACGCTGCCTCAGCTAAGCAGGCACAACCCCACTAGCAGCAGCTCCGAACAAAGTCTCTCACCTTCCTCTTCAACTATCGGCCCTCATCCTCCGAGCCATATGCAGGGGAACAGGCACATGATTCATAATAATGATGCGGGGCAAGTGTACCAGTATGGGAGCTACTCTGCCCCGCCTCTCGCACCGTTGCCGTCTCGTCCTCAGCCACCACCTACCCCGTATGACCAGATGCCAATATACACCAAGCTACATAACACATATCCCATCACTTCATACACTATCGCGAGCAAAAGGAACTCTCAGAGAGCCTCGCAGGTATGTTCTTGAGAACTGGTATACTAGTGAAATTGATTGGCCGCTTATAGGATCGCAGGCATGTGAGAGCTGTCGACAGTTCAAGGCAAAATGCGACGAGAATAAGCCCTGCAAAAATTGTGTCGACAAAAGCATCAACTGTCAATATCGCGATTCAGCCCCCAAGCAGTAAGTGTATTCTGTCTTTGCCAGACAGTCACCAACGTTCTCTGACCCACGACACTAGGCAAGACAAGGCAACGCAAGATATAATAGATGTCATGAAGAGAATGCTGCAGTCGACAAACCAAAAGATTATTGCTGGTCTGGCTGAAGTGCAATCTAATATCCGGGACCTCAAGGGTATTCGACCTGGATCTCTTCACGCCCAGAAATCACTAGGATTGGATGACTGCGTTAAAGAAGAGCTGGGAGCAGTGACGCCACTATCGTTGTCCGAGGGTGAAGGCATACTTTGTTCGTCACCAGGAGACGCTAGCGAGAACAGCACACATGACCAAATTCTTGCAGCCAGACGCATGCGAGCATTGGGTAACGAGATGGAGAGCGAGGAATCTCCCGGAAACCCAGTCCAGCCGCTGCCAGTACCATTCCCCCACAATCATACAACTACGTCGGGACAACTTCTCAAGTGGCCAGCTGTCAGCAAGCTTGTGAGGCCGCTGCTGGATAACGAGCATATCAAATATGTCGAGGCCTACCCTCAGCGATACGAAGAAGACCGTGGCGAACTACCTCTTTTTGAGCGCGGTGAAGGGCCAACCTCGCTTGCAGGAAACAGCGATCTCATATATCATCGTGTGCAAATACCAGACGATGCGTCACTCAGCGATCACCCATCACCGCTAAGAGGTACCGACTGCGGTCTAATTGGAGACTCTGCCTCATCAGGTGTCTACCCGGCCGAGTCACGAGCGAAAAGTCGTTCTGAATGCGCATTGGATTTTAGCCGAGCGAAGGTCGAAGCTTACGTCGACGCCTATAAGAAACACATACAAAACATGCACCCCCTCATTCCTCCCGATGACCTTGATGACATGATTTGTGCATTCCTGGCCGAAGTCTTGAAAAACCCCAGTGGTATTGGAAAACACAGGCAGGTTGCCACAATCACCAAGCACCAGCAGAGGCCGGCTCAGTCATCATTTGAATACGTCAAGAAGCGCGAACGTTCACGTGTCGCTAGCAGTGTCCGGTCTGGATCGGCACCAGAGAGTCCGAAGCCCCAGCGCTCTGTTCGAAATGCACTGGTCTTGCTTGTTCTCGCCCTTGGAAAAATCTGCATGTGGAGAGACCGAAAGCTGCCAGACCCGCCGGAGAAAAGGGGACCAGATCCAGTCTTATCAACAATCCAGGGCTCGCCTTATTACAGTGCTTTCTCTCAGTCTTCTGGTCAGGCTGGATTGCCCTCACGAATGGACCAGCAAAGTTCGGGTGGCAGTCGACGCTCTTCAGCGCAGGTTTCTGGAGTGCAAGCACCAACAAGCGCCGCTTCTCTCGAGCCAACGAAGAGAAACAATCAAATCATACCTGGTCTCGAGTACTTCGCTTATGCGACTGATGTCTTGGGCAACCACCTTGGCAGTTACGAGTTGAACTATGTCCAGGCTCATGTTCTTGCGTGTCTCTATTACGGGCAGCTCGGACGCGTAATCCCAAGCTTTCGTCACATTAGGTTTGCAGGCTCTGCAATCGCTGACAAGCTTCAATCGTGAGTGGAAGCATAGTCACCCGCCGCCGAGAATGCCGACTGACGACCCCAGATCCATGGATCGATTGAGAAACACGGCCGCGCGGGCAGCCGCAGCACTTGAAAATCCCCGAACACACGTAACTATAGAACGAGATGTGATAGACACTAAGCTTCTTGTCGCCTTCTGGTCTTGTTGCCAATTAGAGAGGTAAATGATCCACACTGATCTCTCGTGGTCTGGGCCATTTTTCTGATTGCCGCAGTGACATTCTCGCTGAGTTGAACCTCGTTCCCTCTGGGATCCTCCAATACGAGAACATCCTGCCGTTCCCGGATCTCACTGTAATGCGAGAAAGGCTGGGCTTCTCAGATGAAGTTACGTACAGCTACGCTGCACAGCTGTACTTGCGGAAACGGCTCAATAGAATCTCTGGCTCTCTATATGATCCCGACAAGAAGCCAAACGCTGAGGCACAGAAGAAAATTCTGGCCGAGATTGAAAAGGACCTAGGAGAAAAAAGCACTGTGTGGCTAGGACCGTTCAAATTTGATAGGGACGCCCCGCCAGCGAGGGATATCCTATCAGCACGCATTAGGGCCACGTTCTGGGGTGCCAACGTCATCACCTACCGTCCATCGATAAAGACAGTGCTGGAATTTGGCCATAAGCGCCAGAATGATGTTTCGGCAGAATCGGAGGCAGTCCCGCACGAAAACGCGGGCGAATGGGGCACAGTGAGGAGCGACCCGGGAAGTCGGAGTGACATTGACCAGGTCGTTTTCAAAAACGCGAGAAAGGGAATCGATGCTGTCATCAAAAGTACCATGGCTTTCCATGGTCTGAAAGATAAACGCTTCATTATCACCAATGTTTTTGGAACAGCGCACGCGTATGTGTCCAATTGCCCCTGCCCCTGACAACTTATCTTGAGTTCTAACTTGATCAAGACAATGGGGGAATCTCATTACTCTTACAGCTGCTTATTACGATCCGCTCTTGGGGCCGTTCGTAGGGGAAGCCCAGCTGAGAGATCTCCTGAGGAGAACGATCGATTGGTTAGAGATTGTGGCCCAGGACCCCAGCAGTCTGGCTGTTGATCTTCGCATCCTCCAAGGCTTGTATGATGGGTTGCGTAGTAAGGAGCAGCTGGCTCGCATGAGACCAAACCTTATTCGGCCAGGACTCTAGACAACATCCATATGTAGTTGTATGCATCCAATGGACCGACACTTCACTCGGGATCCAACCTACTCTCACGGATGTGTGGACTCGTGATATCACAGTCCCAATTTAAGGTCCGAACCGAAACTGGACATCTTTTTGTCGGTAGCTGAAGGTTGGGCCGTCTTCAGGTCAAGGGGCCCTATACCGGACCTGAGATTTTCAGGTCCAGGACCTTCGACCTGAAGGTCACCACGGGTGGCACACTTGGATGAGAGCCGAACAAGTTGCAGATGAGTATAGTAGTATTTATAAAAGTCTTAAATATAAGGCCACTCACTGTATCGGAGATCACAGAAGCCTTGCTTATCGATGTCCAGTCTCCTGATCCACTGGTGGACGAGATGCCTGATTCCGTTGATGATTACTACATCAAAGAAGCAATCACCAATCTTTGTGGATCGCTAGTGGAAGTGCGAAATTCGTCGGGAAGGACCGACGAGGGATCGAGGACGATTCACTTGGCACACTTCTCAGTCAGGCAATATTTTCTCAGCAATGCATCAAGACACGGGGAGTCTACCACGGCTCGTGAACATCTCGGAGTACTGAATCCGATGGAGGATGATGCTGAGCTCGGCGTCCTTTGTCTCCATAGGATGCATGAGGACATGTGCAAGTTGGCGACCGTGTTTTCCCCAATTGTGGACGAGTTGCCGGAGAAGGATGCAGACAACAAGAGACACAAGGCAGGAAAGGATAACACATCAGCCTCTGGTGTAAGTTTGAGACTACTGACTTGCATTTGTCGGCAAGGACGGCATTGACGAGATGTCGGATGCGGTCGAAGTCGAAATAAAGTAAACACTGTGAGCCATAAAACACTCTCCTTCGCTTTTGGTGCGTCACCCGACACCATGACTGCCCGAGACCCCTAGACGTAGTACACGCAGCAGTCGAGGGGATAAGCCGCTCCAGGGATCGCATAATTCCAGACAGGCACTCAGGCGCCATGCACATGCGAGAAGAGAATACAGACTCGGGACATACTCAGCTGTATAGCTCTGTCTTCCGTAGATCCAAGAATATCAATAGATGGAGCGATTCGGCACGACAAGACGAGGGCTGGATCAATATCGCTGGTATTTCTGAGCGCCGGCGCATACAAGACAGAAAAGCCCGACGCAGACACCGTGAGTGGGCACCTGAATCTCTGTCATAATTCCTGCTTCGGATTTCATGATGAGACTTTGTGTGATAAATGAAGCGATCAATAGAGTAGGAAACCGATGAACACTACCTCGTCTAAGGTGCTAAACTAAGACTATTGCGAAGTGTTTAAATCTGGAATATATCGTTAAAACAAATATGGTACTCCTGCTAGCCTCAAAATTATTACGAGGGAATAATGTAGATGTTGGCGGTCTGGGGCGAGCTGCCGCACTCAGATCCGCATGCCTATCTGAGATAACTTTGTGGATTGAGCAAAGCCTCGTGGTATTTTTGCTTCGAACATCCAGCCCGGCAAGGACAGCGCCACGTCCTCCAGCTTATCTTTACCGTGAAACACTGCAAAAATTCGATAACCATCCGCCCAAATAGCCCCGTGCAGCAAGAGTTCGTCGAGGTGATGCTCTGGGCGGCGCAAAGGCAGGTCGCGAGCAACGCTATAGGCGTCGTAGACTTCCAGACCCTCCAACCACACTGCTAACACAAGAACTTGTTGTGCCCCCCGGTCAATGAACCTCTGTCATCGCTTCATTGCTTTGTTCCAGTTGCCAAAGAAAGATGTAAGCGGTCCGCCACGCCGACTGCTCCAGTTGAAATGATCTGAGAAGGAATCGTTATCAAGGCCGCGGGCTGGGTTACGAGCGGTCATGGAGCCATCACCAGTGCGGAAGGTGCTGTTTAGGTCCTGGTGCTGTGTATCGTGAACTTCGACTCGGAACCCCAATCGTAGGTTGTATGCATAATTCTGATACCGATTCATTGCCTCGGATTTCCTCCGAAACGCCCACATATATTTAGCCACAGTGGGATCGCTGAATGTGACCGCAGACAAACTGCATGATTAAGGAGAGAATGAAAAGTTCACCACGCATTGGCTGGGAACAGAACCGCGATTGCTGGTTTACCCGCCCGCGCACGTGATTTCTTAGTGTTCATCCACTCGAAAGCCGTCGTCGCTCTCCGTTTTTAATTTAATGTATTGAGAGCCAGAATAGAGGCTACGTAAAGTCCGGAACTCCTTGAAATTTCATTTGTGCAAAAGTATAAATTAACCCGCCCAAGCGTTATCATTGACACGTTTGCTTTGGTCCTTTGCGCATGGAGGTATGGCCCGACATGAACAAAGGTGTTCTGTTGGATGTTACTACGTTAACTGAAAGACTATTCCACGCAAACTATAGCAACACCACGGGAATCTATTTACTGAACTTGGACTCTGTCATATCATCTCGTTTATCATAGAAGCCCGATCGAAATTCTTCATCAAGAAGAAAGAACTCAATCTGTTTGCCACTGAGCGGACC